ATGCTGCTAACGACTTCCTCTCATTTGTCATTTAAGAAAGACTATTCCATCTGTTTGAGAAAATATTCTGAAAGGCCAATCCAATTTGTTGCATCCAGAGTCAATGGAAATGATACATTTTGAAACACTAGTAATATCACACTAATTGATATGACTGATACAAATATAATTATTCCAGCTGCTAGGGCTGTCTCTATTTCATTTATTCTTTCCCTTCATTTGTACTGCAAATGTACGAAAATATACAGATAATCATATTAGAGGTGATGATCCAATGAAAAAATAAGTTGAATTTTTACTTATAAGCTATAAAGTTTTTTCTAACCATTTTAAAAGATATTTTCTCCATTATGCAGTTGCATGATATCCAAATTGCAAATGTTCATTTCTATATTCTATGTAATGTTTCAATCTTCTAGTACTATTTTTTCCAAATACATTGCCATGAGCACAGTTGTAATATAAAATCAGACATATTTTCAAACTATTTTTATTTTTGCACACTCTCCATGAATGGCTGTAGCGCACCTCTCTAAACCAAACGACCCTTTCTACTTCCTAAAGTCGATGCTATGTACAAGATTCTTTCCAAAGAATGTCACTGGCTTGGACAGCCATTCTGAAAATTGCCCTGAACCACACACTATATGGTTCAACATTTCTGTGTTTTTTTTTCTCTCACTCGAACAGTGCTACGTTAGCAGAGCTTATAAACTGCACTGCTGAGGGAAAAAGAAATGGTACAAAAATCCATTTATCTGAGTAACTACATGTCTGTCAGAATATGAGTACTGGTGAGGTTTGTAATCATTGATGAGTCTTCATATAGTGCTTCAAATTGAGGAATACTTTTAACTACAAATACACATTTCATTCAACAACACCATAACCCTTTCACAGAGACAAGAAACACCATTTAAATATCGCTATTTCATGAATATTATGATGTCTTTATGGTTAGCATGCAGTGTATTTCTCACGCTCTCAAACATGGATTACTTGATACTTGTACTGAAAACACCCACAGGTGTTTTTCAGTACACAGGTGTTTTTCAGTACACAGACCTTGAATACAAAAGCTATTTTAAGTGAGTTAATCAAACTAAAATTGGTGCACCCTTTATCTTCAATTTTAAAAGAAACTTGTTTGTGACCATTTTTTTCTCCAAAAATATTATCTGTACTGCTCAGAGAGGTGAATAGTCTGACATCTCAGTTGAAATAAGCAGTGTCTAGGTCAGTGCTACACAGAAAATTACGATATTCACTTAGTTCTTCCTAAGGTATCCAATTATCTGATATCTGCTTTGATATTCAAATAGTGTTTTTTTAAACTATTCAGATATCTTTTACAAGTCTGATATCATCTCTGGTATTCAGAGAGCTTCATAAATATTCAGACATTGCACACATAATTCGCTAAGCTGAAATTGCTTCAACTGAACTTCAAACCCCTCAGAGGTTTTTCAATTGCAGAATACATCTATAGGTATTTCCATTCGCTAAAATTAAACTTACATCAAATAAAAACTTAAACACTGTAACAGTCCAGTAACTAAGATAAACAGACAGCATTAATCAGTGGTACCAGGACAGTTTGCTGTAGCAGTAAGCGTCGGTATTGACAACGCAATGGTACTGAAAACACGCGCAACAAAGCATCCCTACATGTCTATTGGAATATATGTAGATGTATATTACACCCCAACTCTACCAGCAATTTTGCCAGTAACATTGAATTAGTTAGTCCTGAATTCTCCCCAGAGTCAGCACGCAGCGACCCAAACACTCTCTGTACTCCAAATTTCAAAGGACATCAAGTCCCACATAAAGTTGCAGAGACTGGACTCTAACCTACCTCTGTCCAGCAGAATTCTCCAAAACTTCCTGGTGGGTTTTGAAGAATCTTGGAGGGATTGGGTTAACTCTAAAGAGCCATGGAGATCTGCCTAATTGCTTTTTTTTTCTCATGTACTGAGCCTCAAGGAGTTTTTCCAACAAGAAGTTCTGGTCATATTGACATCAAGTTTGTGAAGATCAGATGTGCTGTTTTCTAGCAAAGACCGCTTTTCCAAGACAGGTTGGCCAAAATGTATGCTTTTCCAGTGATGTACTCGATGCACGCAGCTAACATGTGTGAGGCCATGACCTAAAAGTGACCGTAAAATCATCCTGAATTGAATTTAAGCTTCACAACTGTAATGATTGTTTAAATGCAGGCCAAGTTTCAAAAAGATGGGGGTTGTGTAACAGCCAAGTCCGTCTGAAAGAAACCAGTTCTTTCAGAGTTTGGATTAGTTATACTAGACATGGGAACATTCCAAAAGGCTCAGCATTAAAGTCACTGCTGCCACCTTTTCATTTCCCACGCCAATATTTGCAATTTAATAAATTACATGGCAGAATGCCTCCACGGAAATAGAAATACACGCTGCATACTGACTATCCCAAGCAAACGGAGTGAACCATAATTCTTAACAGAAAAAAAAACCCAAAACCCCTAAACAAATGAAAAAATACATCATATCACAGGTATGTTCCTTCGTCAAGTGGAACGAAATTACATTTGCAATGTGGCAACAGATGGTCTTGCTCCAAATGCCAGAATACTTGCCCTAAATACCGCATGGGGTTCCATTATACAAAGTTCCAATTTCCACTTCAATGACAAACACACTTGCTCCTTAGTATGCCAGACAACTGGATTGGAACGTTAACAAGCTAGTTCCAATTACACAAGCAATACACACATTCTACTGAAATAAGAAAGAATTAAGTTATTCGTAAAAAATGGATAAACTAAAGTTATTTCACCTTTAAAATGCAACTTTACAAATTGAGTTAATCATTAAAAGCAAAAGTGGATATTATTTCACAAAAATCAAACAAACTCTTTGGTTCTTTCCATCTTTTTTTGACAAATCTCCAAATGAACTTTAATGATAAACTTTTCCCGTCAAGTCCCTGCCTTGATTTGTGCAGATTGAGAAGAATATGTCCTACTAGAAATGAATGTACACATCCTGTGACTAAGCTAAACCAACAAGTGTGAGTTGACAGACAATAAAATTTGAAGATAAATTTCACAACCAAAACAAACGCACTGATAAGCCACTCGATACACAAGTGCCACACACGACAAAACATGTTTAAGGGCTTTCCCCCGAAAAAGCAAACTCATAAAAAACAATTCACACTGGTCTTGGCAAAAATACGAAGAGGCCAAAAATCTGAGCTGTCGCTGTAAACTTGAGGTAAACATGCATTGTACAAGAGTCAGTTGCTACACTTTTCACAGGATCACTGAGAGACATTTAACATGTTTAACATCTTACTTGAATATAAAGACAGTTCTCATGTTGGAGAGGGAGTGGAAATAACCTGCAATTCTTTAAACTTTTGAGTGCTTGTGCTCTGCACTTTTGAGTATTTCTGAAGGAAGAGTCGCCTTTGAGAGTAGACTTTGTCACCTGTCTGCTGGTGTACAACCACATCAGAGGCAGTAACAAATTCATTTCCAGCTACCAACCCACTCTGTGAGGAGTCGTAAGTCATCCGAGCAACTTTTGAGGAACAGGCTTTAAAAGAATCTGTGGAAATTGGTAGTGTCTATCAACATTTCTCATCCACAGTGTCGAATTTCATCGGGACACTGTACAGCATAACTGTGCTAAGAGCTACTACGAACTAGTAAGTTTGAAGAATTCCCCGATATGCAAATTCAAAGAGATGCTAAAACCTTTAAGATCCTATCTAGTGTGTGAGTTAATTTTGGGGGGCCAACATTACACACCTAGCTTGGATCTGGAAGTACGAGAGGTCCACATAATGCTGTTTGGGTGAACCCTGTGTGGACTGAGCTGTGTCCACACAAAGTTACCCCTTTCTGGAAAACAATTTTTTAAAAGGTATTTGGGGTTATGGTAAATGAAAGAAGGGGAATAGTTTGAGGAAACCATTGACAATAATCCAGCTTCCAAAGAGTGCTCACAGTGCAAGCAAAATGAGTAATATTCATCGAGTTTTCTCACTTACTACATGAGTGCCCATACCAGGTGCACGTAGGTAACGTGACGAGGGTGGGGGGGACATTTTATGGCACACTGTAATATTTTTGTAGGCTCTCAATTTTTTTTTTTGCAGGTCCTCTTATTTCTCAGGTGCCCTAGGCACAACGCCTACCATAT